CTTTCCATTGGTAATGGTTTATTTAATTTTACTTTCTCATTTTTGTTATATAATTTGATTTATTTGTTATCATCCAAGTTGAATTATTATTATCAACTTTTACTGCTATAATAATACATCAAGCACGTAGGAGGATTGATTATTAACTGAATTAAATCAATTCTTGGCTAATCAATTCAAATTTAGCTGAAAATCTCGAGTAGATAATAAATTCAAAGCTGATCACAGCTCTGATTGGGTTAAAACTAAACTAATCAATTGCCTTCCATTGATTATTATCAAGTAATTTACATAACTAACAGTAAATATCATTAACTGTAACAATTAACATCAGAGATTAACCAGATATTGAAACTTAATGATAGTGATTATCAAGTGAAAAACAATGTAACTGCTAGTTAAATGTTTGTGGTAATTGAGGTTCATCATTAGTGATTTAATTGCTGCTGTTAATCAATCGGGATCAAGATTGAAAACTTCTAATGATGTTAAATTGTATTTCTCTCTTGCCATTCATCATCTTTAATTTAGATTTAGGTTGTGATCAAATATTCAACAGTGGATTAACCTTAAATGGATCATTTCATTCACCCAATTATCCTGATCCATATCCTTCCGGAATCCGTTGTAAATATTATTTCAATGGTCATGGTAAACAACGAGTCCAGATTATGTTTAATGACTTTGATCTGGTTAAAGGATCGGCCAGTGTTAAACCAATCATCAGGTTTAGTACATGTTAAAGTGACCATTGGTCAACTTGTAGATAATAATTGTACTTTTTTTTTGTTTATCTATTTCTCTTCTTTGTCTTTATTTGATTTAGTTGTGAATCAAGTGATACTTTGATGGTTCTATTAACAATCAATGGTAATAAGGAAAGTCTTGATAATTTTTGCGGCTCCAAAAGGCCAAACAATTTAATGTCCAATGGACCCAATTTGTTGATTGAATTTCGAAGTGGACATTATGAGAAGAGGAAAAAAGTAAAAGGTTTCCAAGCCTCTTATCGATTTGTAACAAGTGAGTCTTAATGTTTATCAATTCTCATCATCAGGGTGGAGGGAAAAAAATTTCATTCTTCATGATGAGTTTCATGATACTTGTGATAATATTCATTCAGATTTGAAACTTTTCTCATCTCAAGTGTTACAGGAAATGAGATGGAAAATCAAGTAAATAGAAAAAATTTTCTTCTCTTATCGATATGATTTCGAAATGTTTATTGTCGAGTATAAGTTTTAAATCACAACTTTTCTTAACAACTACTAATCAGCTTCAAATTCATTCTGCTATTTGATGATAATTAGCACGAGAATAATTTATATTGCTCATTAACTACACAAAGATTTAGAAAGTTAATTGATCTTCACTTGATTTGCATTTCTACTGGTATGATGAACACCATGATTATCATGAGCGTAAATGACTATGAGATGATGAAAATTCAGATTCACATTTTATCAACATCCAAACTAATTGGAAATCTAATAGTTAACTCATTTGCATATTCTCATGATAATATCTTGAAAGTGATGAGGAAAATTTTCATCTGATTATCTTTTGTTTTCTATCATGATTATCATTGTTTTTTCATTCCAATAATTTTTAACCTGATATAATTCATACACATCAAATCTGAGTTCTGATAACATGAAGATAACCTTAGCATTCAAATTGTTTTTCATGATGAATTTTTTTTATGTTCATTTGTTTTCATTGGTAACAGATTTTGGAATCAATTCTGGTAATCAAGACACGAGTAAAGGTATGAACTTTTTCACTAAATGAATCAAATTTCCGATAAATTTCAATGTTGAATAATTTATCAAAGTTCAATAATCATTATTATCATTCAATTGGACAGATTGAAACATAACAATCAACTAATATTATTTATCGACTGAATATAAAACTCAATGGTCAGAACATGAATATCAAAACATCATCATGATTGTAGGAATTGTTTTTCTTTCCAGATTATTGTGAGTTTTTCATGGTGAATTTGTTTTGATTCATTGAGATCACAAATAATTGACTCGAATTCTGAGGAAAAAAAAGAACAATAAATTTACTGGTCAGCTTGATTTGATTACAATTCATATGGTCAAACAATTTGATCACATTTTACAATCCAACTTGTAATCGTTTATTGAGTTAATATCTCTTTACAATGGGATTGATTTAATAGGATCAGAAGTTTTTCCTCAGATTGGAATCTGAAATGATGTAAATACCATGAGACAAGAATATATTTATATCGTCCTTGTTGATAAGAAAACAATCAATCTTATCAATCGAATGATATAAATATAAAAAAACAAAAGTTCTATTGACCAGTCAACTAGTTTCTTCAAGATCACCGGACATGAGATAAACTTCATCCCATATTCAAGGATGCGGATTATAAAAAAAGTCAAAAGATAAATGAAAATTTCGTTCATGTTTCATTTCATTTTATATTGTGTTCATTAAACTGAATCCATCATGAAATTAGCTTTTATGACGCAAATTATTCTGGATCAGAGTCATCATGCTGGTTCAATAAACTTGCATTTCCAATATTGGATAGTTTAAATTTGAATAGTAATAAGATTGACCCTCATGAAGAGAGTAACAATATTTGCTGATTTTAGTTCAGATTTTGTATAAAGAGGATAACCAATTCAATTCTTGCTTTCTGTTTATCTCAATTTAGAAGTGTATATTTCAAGCTATAACTATTCTGTTACTTTTCTGAATCAGAACTTTTATCCTAAACGGAAAGTTATGATTAAAATAATACAACAGGAGAAAATATTAACTTGAATGAGCAGTTTTATTATCAAAAGGTAAACTGATAAACAGACTGAATTTCTCATGTTTGTTTGTGCTATGATAAAGTGAGAATATCTAAAACTTTAGCGTTAGATTAACAAGATTTTTTCTTCCAATTATCATTTTCATTTTTATCTTCATCATTTCTTTTTCCTTTTTCTCCTTTTCCTCTTTTTCAATCTCTTTTTGCTTTCCTTCTCGCTCCCTAATAATTTGAAAAAGCGAAAGAAAATCATCTAAACTCCATCATCATCATCATATCAAGTCATATATTCACTTCCTTCATCTTTTTCATCTTCATCAGTAAATTCAAGGCGTGATGCCAAATGATGGTTACACTAGAATCAAATTTCAATTTAGTCTCCATTGAACTAGAACTTTTCTGATGATTCGATAAATAAGAAGAAACAAAATCTTATGTAGACACAGAGACCCAGAGAGAGAGAGAGAGAGAGAGAGAGAGAGAGAGAGAGACTAAAGTTATGATATTATCACCAGAATGATAACTCACTGGGAGTGAATTTGAATCCATTCATTTCTATCCAGCCAATGCTCTTCCCTCTTTGCAAGTGACATTCATAGTTTTCCAAAACTTTTTGTTATTATCTGTGAAAATTCATGATGATCATTATGAATAAATGAGAAAAAAAACTCACAATTGATTTAAATCTTATGTGACTATAGTATGCTACCAATAAGCCAACAATTTGATACATGAGAGATTTATCAAACATGAGTCCTATTACGATATAAGTTTGAAATCTATTGTTTCTTCTGAAAACCTAAACCCAAATGAACTGAGATACTCTGAGAATCTGCCATAAATTATCATGATGAAATCTGATGGAAAACGGGAAAGAAATGAAAACAACAATAAATGAAAGGAGAAACATTAATATTAGTCAGATAATTGTTGATATATTAATAATTTCAATCTGTTTCATGATAAATGAACTTGAGACTGAACTTTGAAAGTTAAACTTGAAGGTAACTTTTTTTCACAATTCTTGAAAAGAAGTTGAAAAAAAAGTTCACTCACTATTATCTCAATCTTTTACTCATGGATTGAGAATTGAAATTTTCAGTTAAATGATAACAATGATTCCATGACAGTTATGATGATAAAAGTGATGATAATGATAACTAATTCAGAGGCGAAAATAATTGCATCATGTTATCATCTTGTTCCTCTTTTTCCTCATCTATTTATCTCTTTTTCTTTTATTCTTTTCTCCCTATCATCTTCATCACTCTTGATATTATATAAATTCCTGTAAAAATGAACATGGATTGAACATTATCATGTATTCCTTTCATCTTCAGTTTGCTCTTTTATCTTCAATTCAACATTATCTCCCAACGGAACAATCAGTTCACCCAATTTCCCTGGTTTCTATCCCCGGAACACTGAGTGTCAATACTTTTTCCATGGTAAACCCAATGAGCAAGTTCATCTTAATTTCAGCCACTTCGATATTGAAGGTGTCCCACCGTAAGTAAAACCTCGATCATGAAATCATACTCACCATGGAACCAATTAATCGTCAATCAATTGATTCCATTTAGATGCTCTGCTGAATCGGCTTCCGATTATATTGAATTTTCAAATGATTTTTCGGTCAATCGTAAATTACCTCGACATTGTGGCCTTCGAAAACCTAAATCGATCATCTCTGATCATGATCGCTTTCGAGTTGTATTTAAATCAAACGATAAATTTGATGGAACTGGATTCAAGGCTTTCTATTCATTCAGAGAAATAAAAAGTAATCAATTTAAATCATAAACTTTTCCCCAACAATTAACTAACCTTCCATTACCATCTCTTACCTTAGAAGACAATTCTGGACCAAGAAGATTAACTAATGAAACAATTAAACTTAAACAAGGTAAACTTTTCAAACAATTTAAACAACAATCAAATTAATCACAATTCTGTTTTCTATCAACAGATTTCAATTGGATAACTGTGATAATCATTTCCTTTCAAATGCTAATATTTAGATAATCAAATTGTTTAATTTGTTACTCTTAATCCAGTTTCGATTAATAATAAAATTGGTATTACAATTATGATAATAAATTGGCACGATTGATTCACTGATTTAAATGATTTATTTTCAATTGGAGTGAAACAAATTGTAATGGTCAAGTTAATTGCGATTTTGAAAATTAGATTTTCATCTTATTAAGTTGAGAGTTGATTTGATTGTTATAAATTTAAGATGATTAATAATTAAGAGATTTGAGTTTTTGTTTTTACATAAATTACACATGATAAAAGGTTTGTTTCAATTTACAATAAAAAGTTAAATTAATGATTAATTTAAATTGATTGATATTCAACATTTAGTCCATCTAATTGATAATTGATTTTGATTGATTTAAATTTCGATAAGAAAATTATTGATTATCTTAAGATTCTGGTTAAAGTTTTTAATTGCTGGCTCAATGTATTAATTACTTTCCCTCTCTATTATTAGTTAAATGAGTTTTCAAATTTTCTTGGTGAGTTCTTGATGAATCTAATTACTAATCAATGGGAATAGATTTAATCGTTTAATCAATTAGCTCAACTAAATATTGAACTTGATAATTAACTAATTAGTTTTAACGGTTCAGTGTTTTTTTTTCTTACTGAGATTCTGTTTCATCTGATTGATTATCTTAACTTTTGTATTTATGTTATTGTTAACCTGATTAGTTGATTTGTGAACAATTTTGTTCCAGTTAATTGCTGTCTCATGATTTCTGGCTCAAAATAATTAACTAATTGTATTCAGCAAGAAGCGAAATGATAAAAAAATGTCTATGTAACTGTGAGATATTAATGGGATATTGAATTGGGAAAATGTGATGTGAAAATGAAAACAATTATTGATTTGATTTTAAGGACAACAGATTCGGTGATTAGCTAATTGTTGATGATTTTCGAGTCGATTCATCTTGAATTGATTGTCGCATCTCTACAACTCGATGTTGTCGATACACTCGCTGAACTTAAACGTTGTTGACTTCGGAAGACTGTATTTTGTAAGGTTCGTTTCCAACGATCAGCAGTATCTTTTAATTTGGTAAGCCAATTAATCTGTTATATGATAGAGAAAAATCAATCAATTAATCATCAATAATAATCTAATGAAAACACTGAGAATCATTGATTTACCTTGGTTGTTTCATTTGGAGCTTGAAAAGTATGAATTGTGACTATTTGTTGAAATCTATTTAGACAAACAAGTACGAAAACGTATTTCAAATTGTTAGCTGAAAAAGTGAAAATTAAAAGTTAGAAAAGAAATTAATTGTTATTCTCATTTCGATTGATATCTTATTTGATTGTCAACAATTTACCTGCACCTTCAGCCGCTGAAATATCGTGAATATAAAAACGATCTAATGACAATGGTTGCTTGTAGACGACGTATTTAAATGGACTTTCATGAGGTACGGAATTTGCTCCACGACTACAGGTTGATGCCCATTTCTCAGTTAATGACGATTGCTGAAGGAAAAAAGAGAAATTAATTTATATTGATCAACGACAATCAAAGAGTAGTCTAAATCATCATGGATCATGTTTACCTTTTTATGGAGACCTTTCTTTCGTCTTGTGATAATCAGCATATCGTCAAAGAGGATAACATACATTTCGACCGGTTTTCCAGTGTCCAATATGTTCAATGGACCTTCGATGATTATTTGACGTCTTGGACTAACAATTAACCTTTCACAGGGTTGCTTGGAAAGAGGTGCTTTAAGACACTATTGAGATTGAGATGGAAAAAGGGAGATGAATTTTATTTCATTAGATTAGAATTGATTTTAAGGGAAAATGGGATTAGTATTGGTTTGATTGTTTTGACGATATCATTGTTGGTTTTATGATCGTTACCTCGGGAATGAAAACTTTAGGGTCAAGATCAAATACCGAAGGCCAGACAATGTTACGTTGAATTTCAAGTAGACGCTCGAAGTTTTTCAACCATTTCATTTTATCATCTAATTCTCGGAGTGAAGCCTCTTCAGCTTCTATTATCTGACCAATTAATTCTCGTTCAGTTGAATCTTCCGTTCTCATTTCGATATCTTTCAATATTAATGGTACTCTCATGATATGTTGAACAGGCGAAACAAGGAGATCAGTTAATTGTAACTTTTTACATCGAGGATCACGGGCACACCACTAGAGATAAATGAAGAGAGAGAGAGAGAGAGAGAGTTAAACCAACAATTAAACCCTTGAGAAAATCAAGAGAAACTAAACTTTAATCAACAATGAATGAGAATTGAAAGATTAACTGTAATTAGTTACTTTTGATGCCAAGAGATGGCGACACTTTACTAGAACAAAACTTTTTCAATTTCTCTCAAAATTTGTTATCAATTAAATCAATTAAATTAAATTTACCTTTTCAAATTCATTAAATTCAACCTGACGTCGAAGTGTTTCCAAATAATTAAGAGCATTAATATAATTAAGTGTGTATCGGTGATATGCTTGTGTAAGTGCAGTAGCTTTTGAACTCTGGAAAAAAAAGTCAAATCAAATTAACGAAGTGAATTAAAATTAATTGTCTGAGGGTAAAAAATCACAACATTCATTGATTAATATATTTGGTTGAACAGGAATTTTGTACCAATCAAAATGAACTAGATTATTATGACATTGGATTGATAAATTTTCCCATTGACACCGTTTTCAATTGATGAATGTTATAGTTGATCAATGATTATCAGTTAATTGCTCACCTTTTGAAATATTTTAACCAAAACCTCAGCGGGATTGAGATCAGTTGAATTCATTTGCTGAAGGATTAGGGATAAAAATTCCTTACAAAAAGCATAGGTGACACAGCAAAGTTCATCGAGGTTACCAAAAAGTACCTCAGGCTCAGCAAACATGGCAAAACCTTCAACCTGAATCTTTTTCAGTGGTTCCATGAAAACATTTTTCAATACCATTAGGTGACAGTAAAGGAAAACACATTCACTTTGAAAAAGGTCCCAAAGAGCCTCTCGACGTTTAAACTCTGACCTTGTTATAGCAAAACTTGACCTGGAAGAGGTTGGACTTGATGAGCTATTGATTGGTGATCCAAGTTCACTTGTTTCAATTGAATTTGTTTGAACACTTCCTCCAATCAAACAACCACCGGTTCTACCAAATTCACTGGTGGCACTTTTTTCACCCACATTACCCGCTATTCCAACACCAATACCCGGTCCAAGGTTAAGTGTCATCCCTGTACCTCCTCCGTCTCCTGTTACCACTCCGCCGATGTTTCCTGCTCCTGGTGTTGTTGTATTCGAGGTTGGTGAAGGTAAATCTTCACATTGACCTTCATCCAGCGACTCTTCCCTTAGATTAAGGCCTCCACTTAAACGACGAATTGAACTTGTGACCGGTGCAATACAACTGTTTGACCTAATGGAATGAGCATTAACCTCTAATAGAGAATCATCTGTTGTATTGGTTTGGGCTGAATCAAAGGTTTGAGTTCGTAAAAGTCCAGGACGTCGAGGTGATCGATTGGGTGAGTGACGTAAACTCATCGATAGATTGGCATTACTTTGACCGGTTAAAGAGGATTGACCTGATGAACGTCGACTATCCGATTGAAGTTGAGAAAGACGATGACCTGAGATTATTGAGGAAGCACGACGTTCTTCAAATTGAGCCTCGAATTCACACCAAGACATACCCTGTTGCGAAAAAAAAACGAAAAGTTCGAGGATAAAACTTTTCCTTTTACATTGAGAAAAAAAAGTTTACCTTGTACTTGGAAAGTTGCTCATCAATGAAAACGGACGGAGTGAGTGTTGATAAAACCTCTTCGAGACCACACAATGAATCCGATTTGGTTCGATTTGACCTGTCAAACTGTACGCACATTTGGATGGACAGAAGAATTGCAAAAATTTTTTTTGTTCGGTGTGTTGGTGTGTTTTTTTTGCGTTTCCCACAAGAAAATCAATTGGACATTTTGTGTTCGGTATTTTTTTTTGGATATAACAGATCAGATAATCATAGAGAGTAACAATAATGCACAATAATAATAATAACATTTCCACGATGATTACGATATTATGAATATATAATATAATTGGTGCCAATATAAAGGTGATCACATAAGTGTATTCATTATATATATATGGATGTAAGTGTATTTGTGTGCGTGTATCGGTGTTGATATGTCGCACATAAACAGAGTCAAAAAACCAAATGGAAAAAGTAAAATAATAAAAACAATCACAAATGCAAATATTAAGATATTGACACAAATATTGAATTAGTTGCATAAGATTATGGCGATTGAGGTTTTGAAGTTCAGTTCATATTCATCATGAGATCAGATGAAAAACACGCACACACATATATATGATAACATTGTCGCCGGTTAATATTGCATATATATATATATATGGATACAGAATATGCAAATGTGCAATAACATAAAAAGATAACATTAAATATGATAAGACAATTGGAGATACAATTAAAGGTTTGGATATATTGACGTGCCAATGATTTAAAGAGACGGGATAATTACATAGGAAACAATAGATAACAATAATCAACAGTTTGGTGATTTCAGTTTTCATGGTGATTCGGTGTTTGTATGTTTGATATGATAGATTATTTTTGTGCAGGCGATTCAATATCATCATGAGTTCAGAGTTTTAATCAGATTAAAAATCGTAACCATTAAAGTTTCATAATTCATCATGATCATTATCAAGTTCAGAGTTTTTTTTTCATTTTGGATATTTAAACATCACGAGACACATTGAATAAATAAAGAAGAGAAAAAGATAACAGATAAGTAGTAACATGATAAATGGTAATTTAGGTCAAAGGTTAGATAGGTAGATGGAGAGGTGAGAGGTTGATGAGAGTGGGGAAACTCTTGGGGGTGAGAATTTCGTTTTCGGTGTTGAATCAAGTGATGAAACTTGAATGATAGTAACATTTAATGTCCATGGTGGAAATGATGATGATCAACTTTTCGTTTTCAAGTGTACGAACTTGCATTTCAACACCTCAGGGGTGAGAGGTTAGACAAGGATAGATTATGATTCTGATTTAATTGTGGTTGGTGATTATGATTGTGAGAAACGATTTATGTGAGTGATTAAAGGAGGATTGAAATTGGGCTCAAAAGTTTTTGGTTAGAACTTTTTTTTGCCTAAATACTTACAAGTTTCAACAGGGACCAGGTATTTTTACCTTTTCGAGAGGCATCTAAAGATGAGGCAGTAAAAGACAATAGGTTAGATCTTAGGCTTGATTCAATTCGGTCTGAATTGGGTAGGGAATATGCTGAAAATGTCCACAGGTCAATTGAATATTTCCGATTGAAAACGAAAAATGAACTTGACATTTCTAATATTATATCATGTAAGTTGATTTACTATTAAAACAAGTTGAAACTTTTGCTTTCCTTTGTTTACAATACAATACAACTGAACATTGATTCATGTGTAACTATTATCATTTAGTTCAATATGATGAATCATATCAGATCATGGATAATGAATGAGATATAAACACCATTGAAATTCATTTGAAAACAATTGATACCTGATTGATTTGTTCATAAAGAGTTGATAATTGGATCGGAAGGAAATTCAAAGTGTTCATGAATTGAATTTTTGAATGGAAATGAATTGAAAACACAAAATGAGAGAGGAAAAGGGAATCAAAGCAAAGGTAAGGGAAAAAAAGAAGATGAGAAAAGGATGTATGACAAGGGTGGAGATTGTGATGAGAGAGTGGGAAATAGACGATAAATAGATACATTTATATACAAATTCTAATACCGATTCGAGTACTGAACTTATGAAAAGCGGAAATGAAATCAATATGAACTTTAGGCTTATGTAAAAAGAAAGAGAAAATTTTCAAATTGATTTACCTTCGGTAACAGCTAAACATTGAGTTGATCCATCAAAATTATCTGAATGAAAGGAGTAGGAACAGGAAATAGGAAGAAGAAGGAAAAAAAAAGTTTATTAATCATTCTGTTGATGGATTAAGAAGATTAATCTTACCTAGAAACTCATTACGATGAGTTAAAACTTTACTATAAACTAATAAATCCCCTGGACATATCTGCATTGGTGGTATAACAACAATTGAGCTTCGTCGTCTGGTCTTGGACGAGTTTGGCTCATTCAGTCTAACGAAATGACAAAACGATAATAATAACAAAAAGGTAAACAAATAAACAATTAGTAACACAAGAAATTGACATTAAACATTTCAACTTGACTTTGTGAAGAAAAAAAAGATTTGATTGTTTATCCAGTTGATTAAATTAAAATTGTATCAGCAAACAATTAGATAAATAGTATTGATGATAAGTTAACAGGTAGAAATGAAAGGTAAACTGGTGATAATGATGATCAGGGTGGGTAAGGGGAGGAGGAGTGGGTAAGACAGGTAAGTGGCCTTGCGTCTAACACTTGATAAACTTTCACTTTTTTGCTTACTATTTAGTTTGTATATTTATTATTGAAGATGCGAAAAAACTTATCCATCAACAAACAGTAGTAACACTGAAAGTAGTAAACAAGTTGTAAGCTACTTGATGATGATGATGATGATGGCGATGGTGATGATGATGATGATGATCGTCATCCTCTTGGTGTATCTACTCTTGCAAAGATAAACTAACATGGAGCTAACTGAGCTCATCTTTTGTTGCTGATTCTCATTCCATTTTCTGGTGATTTTTTCGTGTCAATTTTTTCAAGAAAACAACAAACAACAAAGTTGTAAGGTGCTGATAAACCGGTTCGGTAATCGCTCAACCAGTAAACCCAATTATAAGGTTTGCACCAAGAAGGAAAAGAATAGGATTCATGATGATTATCAACAAGAAAATAACACTGTGCCAATGAACTAACTTTTTCTTCATATTCTTCTTATTCTCATCATCATTCTCATCATCATCATCTCTCTGAAAGATGAGGAGAGGTAAAAAAAAAGAGCATGATGAAGATGAGAAAGAAGACTTTTTTTTTCTTTTACTTCTTTTCGCTTGAAAAGTGATGTATTATTTTTTTCTTTGCCTTTTTCTCATAGACTTTACCTTATAGCTTTTCGGTTCACCTTGTTACCTTTTCCTTCAGATCTTATTTGAGCCTTGCGGTTATTTCTTAGCTATTATTTCATCAGGTAATATTCATCATTATTTGTAATCATCTTCAATTAAATCAATCGGTTCACTTAATCGTTAGATTGGTAATCATAATAATAATATGTACAACTTTAATTACTTGGAAACTTTTCTTAACCAAATATCATTTTTTTTTTACTTTCACGAGTTGATAATAACACTTTCTAAAGGTAATTTTGTTCAAAGTTAATTGTGTTGATAATTAATGATGATATTATTATGGTAAAAAGGATGATTAGTAAATTTCCAAAGGTAATAAAAAGTAGCAATTAACTTCATCAACACTTTGGATACTTAATTTTGGTCCAAGTTGAAAATTGAATTGACTTTGTATGCTTACAATTTGCTAGAAATTGGTGATGATGAGGATTCCCTTGTGGCCTCCGTTTCATCAGTTGCACTTTCATATCCATCGGTGATTAACTTTGGTGGTACTAAAGCTCGTCTTCGATGTAAAACGGAAGCGGGTGGTTCTTCTTGTAAAGGCTCTTCCGGTTCACTTTCTTCCCCATGACCACCAAGTCCAGCAAACTTTTTAAAAACTGGGTTACACTCTTGACCCTTTGGTAAAAACAAAAAAATAAAGACACAAAGATTATAAGATTAATCGTTATCAAGACTATCACTTTTTTCAAATAATAATATATTTACAGTGAATGAATAGATGAGTAATTTCATGATAAATTCAGTGTATCATCAAATTGAAGACTAAGAGTTGAGGTAAATAGATGTAATTAAATCCCAATGGGTACGATTAAATTTCAATAGAAATTGAGATAATTATAATTGTCTAATTTTCCAATAGTATTAGAATTTTTTTCTGGGTTTCACTCATGGTAATTATGGATTTAGTTTTCTCAATTAAATGTTTGAGAGTTTCAATGAATTGAAATGTTGGTGACCTCAATTGAATACAATGGAAATGATATATAAAGAGAGAGAGAGAGAGAGTGAGAGGGAGACTGAATCAATGAGAGAAACTAAAACGTGAACAGTTATCTTTTTTACAATAATGATGACTTTAAGTGAGACTATGATGATAAGTGAGCCAAGTGAGTAACCAAATGAAAGATACACAAGTTTGTTACCCAGGTAAGTAAGTCTAGGTAACAATAACAATGTACTCACTTACAACAAGAAGATATAAGTGGAAGATGAAGAGAGAGAGAGATGAAATTATCATCATCTCACTCGGTTGACAATAATTTTCGTCTCTCTCTCACTCGAGCTTATCTCATGATGATGATGACCTGATTGTTGATATCATTTACCTTTAACTTTGACAAATAACATTGCAAACTATTCACTATATTTAACCCTTTCTCAAATTGTAAATCTAATCAACGATCAATTGTTATTTAATCAATCAGATTTTGCAATGATTTAAGGTTGATAGCATGATGATAATACTTATATTCGTCAAGTGATTGTTTATCAAAGGTTAATCAATGAAAATCTTTGATTAAAACTAAATTGATTCTGTTAAATTATTTTTCCATTTCCTTTTGAAAACTTTTTGTTTTATCCAATTTAACCTAATTCAATTTACTTCAGGTATGATTAACCTTATCAACAATTATCTTTATTACTATCAAAATTTGATTGTTTGACTTACTGGGAGTGATCACTGGGAGGTTATCCTAAATTAATCACAATTGAATTGACTTGTCAGCGAAAAGTTCAGATTTTAACTTCATCTCGAAAATCATAACAAAAAAGGTGAAGGATTTTGATAATATCGTTATGAAGATAATGATGATGAAAATGATAAACATGGAGATATTGATTGATGCTCTTGGGGTTAAATTCAAACATTTGAGGTCAGTTCGAGAGAGAGAGAGAGAGAGAGAGAGGAGAAAGTGGGTGAGTGGGTGGAGGTTGAATGAGAATCTTTTCCGTCCCTTCAATGGTAAAAAAGATCGACCCAGATCCAAGTGACTGGACAATTGATTAGAAAGTAAAAAGTTCAATTGACAAAAATTCATTTTCTAAATTCAACATTTTCTATCCAATAATAATATTATTCTGAAACTTTCCATTCACTTTCTTTTAATATATTTATCATTCGCTTTTCGAGTAAGTAAATAATTCATAGTTTCAACATGTAAACATCATGTTATTATGATATTATTCTGATAATGGTTACACCTTTTTCATTTGTATCATTATTTCAATGAATATTGTTTCATAGAGGAAAAGAAACTGATTGTTGTTAGTTTCTTTTCCATGATAATCAAAAACACGCAAACATTATTATCACAATTGACTAACAATTGTGTAACTGTTAATTGTGATAATTTGTCTCGACTTTTGATAAAATTCAACAGTTATAATCACACATATAATCAGTTTATTAGCTAATCAATCATTTTTACGCTATGAATAGCTGGTTAATTATTAATTATCTTTTCTATTGAAAGATTATCAATCAAGATGATGATCATGTAATCGAAACTTATTCCCTGTTGTAATTGACTTAAGCACAGAGATTTTGGATTCAAATTATCATATTTGGATTAGAACTTATTGATTAAAACTTTTCTCTCTTTTCCTAGATAATATTTTCGTCATTTTATCCATAAAATTAGGTCAACATACAACAATTAGGAGAGATCAATATCTAATTGTTAGGAATTATAATAAAACAGTAAACACAATTGTCTTTCAAAGTGAAAAAAAAGTTTTTTTTTCCATTGAGAAATTATCTTACAATATGATCAATAATTTTTTCGTTCATTAATCGATAGATGAATGAATAACCTGAATATAGAGATTAATTGCTACTAATTAATTAAACTAAATCAGCAACAGTCTAACACTCAACTCTCCAAGTTTAAGATTAATCAGTTGGATGAAAGATCAACAGTTAAACTCAATTAGAAATCAAAATGTCATTGAAAAAAAAACTTCAATATTTGATTAATTCAATTGAGTTCGATAACTTTAAAGTAAAAGTTCACATCAGGTTACTATAAAAACAGAAAAGTTTCAAATTGTTGGAAATTACAGTGTTTCCCGATTGAAGAAACCAAACTTTCAATTGAGAAAACCTTTCTTTCATTTGAAGAAACCAAAGGTAAAAAATTCGATTCTACTTTTCATATGAAGAAACCAAACCACCAAATGAAGAAACCAAATTTTCATTTGAAGAAACCAAAAATTTTTCTTTATTTAACCAACAATTTAATCAGTTGATTGAGACTTTGTGTCTTCATTTATATTTGATTATTTCAAAGCGTCAGTTTGTCTAGTAACTTAGTCTCATTTTCATCTTCATCAACTTGATGTAACATTTTTAATGGAATTAAATTAGTATCATTTTGATCTTCATGTAGATTAGTTGTTTTGTTTATCTTCATGTTAAAATGGCGACAAAAAAGCGAATCGATTCTTCAATCAAGAAATTAATTATTCAAGCTCGTGAATCAGGTCAAAAGTTTGCCGATATTGCATCGACTTTTCAACTTAGTGTCAACACAGTAAAAAATATAACAAGATATGTTAAAATTAACGAGATTATAAGTAAACCGAAAGGACATAGACAGCGGATATTGAATGATGAACAGGTAGTTCAGCTACGTGATTGGGTAGATGACGACTGTCAACGTACTTTGATTGATCTACAAAAAAAGATGAAGGAGACATTTGATGTCGATATATCGACTAGTTCAATTGGTCGCTACCTTGATGAACTACATTACAGTGTAAAGAAAATTTCAATTGTCCCTATCGCTCGTAACTGTCCAGTAACAATTGACAAAAGGTTCGATTATTGTATTTCCTTCATCGCGTTGGACACAAATAGCAGAGAAAAATTATTATTTATTGACGAGACTGGAATAGCCGTTCATTGTCGTTCGAACTACGGTAGATCAAAAATCGGATGTAGAGCTAATTTGAAAGTAAATTCAGTAAAAGGTCGAAACTATTCAGTATGTGCAGCGATGTCAATAGATGGACTTTACTTCTATCAAGCTCAATCAATTAGCTATAATACAACTGAATTCATAGATTATCTAAAACAATTAATTGACCACTTAGCTGTCGAGCAGAAAATAAATTGTACTTTTATCATGGATAATGTTAGATTTCATAGAGCTGAAGATGTGAAATCTTTGGTTGAATCTCGTGGACACTCTCTACTCTTTCTACCGCCATACAGTCCATTCCTCAATCCTATTGAAAATTTGTTTAATCAATTGAAATTTCATGTAAAAAGAAAACGACCAACAACAATTGATGAAGTTTTTGATTCGATTAGAGATGCTTCTAATGTTATCACCAGTGATGATTGTAAATCTTATTATGATCATATGCTTAATTATCTTCCTCGTTGTCTCCGTAAGGAGGAAATTGAAAATTAATTTATAATAAAATTAAAAAAATTTTGGTTTCTTCAAATGAAAATTTGGTTTCTTCATTTGGTGGTTTGGTTTCTTCATATGAAAAGTAGAGTCGAATTTTTTACCTTTGGTTTCTTCAAATGAAAGAAAGGTTTTCTCAATTGAAAGTTTGGTTTCTTCAATCGGGAAACACTGTATTATTTTCGATATTCATTCAATATTCTGTTGTGTGCTGCCATCTAGTGAGCGAATTTGCAAGTATTCGTTGATTGCGATTTAGTTTATTTTCACAGACGATTAACTATTTTTAGCTAATTAAATATAGTGGTAATATGTAATCTCTTTGGTAAATTACAATATAAATGACCAGTAGTAATTAGAAGGATAAATTTTCCAACCAGATTAATGAGAAAGAGAGAGAAAATCTCAATTCTTTACAATTTAAGAGTTTCATTTTTAAATACTTTCGCCAATGAACTCACAGTTGGCTGATTTTCAGAGTAATTAAAAGTTAAATTGTTTATAACCTTAGAACAATTAAAACAAAAACAATAATGCCCAGTGGATAGTAAAAGTTTATCAACACATTGATTAATTGAAGTCACTCAATTTAGCCTTTCAATAGCTGATCACTAATCAATAGATAAATGATATAACCACAAACATATTATAAGATACATCAAGTGATTCCAATTAAAAAGATTTAACAATAAAAAGACCAAGATAATGATCAAGAATTAACTATAAATGGGAAACATTAATCCCTCTATCGTAACGATATGATTACAAATTATCATGATGAAAGATTAGTGGATTAGTTTGAGAGGGAGATTAGTCTTGTGAAGATGGATTAATGGCTCAATATAATAGTTGATATCTTTTGTAATCAGTTAATGATTAGGAAAACATGATTACAACTATTCATCCATCAGACTATGAATAATATTTCATGAGAATCGATTTTAGAACAAGAGAAAAAAAAACAAATAATAATTTTCTTCTTTTTCTAAATAACGGTAAACTGAGAAAGAGAGAGAGAGAGAGAGACTCAGTTTCTAGGATTAAATAAATACTAATGAAACCTAATGAAAAAAAACTATTATAATCTCAGTCTATTTGTGTTAAAAGAGATTAGAACTTTAATCAATTCGAAAAGTTTTTTCCTTCTCCTTCTCAACCTCTGGAACATATTTAAAACTTTCATCTAATAGTAATAAT